ACGGATTGCCTCTGGCACCAGCAGTGAAAAGTGCTCCTGAAACACATATATCCTGTGAATGATGACGTGGATGGAATCCAGACCCTTACCCCTGCCAGTGCTCGACCCTGCACAGTTACTGCCTGACTCTGCAGTGAGATTAGTTGAGATTTGAAGCTCGCCCGTCGCCCGGGCGCCCTTCAGTGGGAAACAGATTGCAACAAACAATTGGAGCTGGTACAAAAAGAAATTGGTTGAAGACAGATGAAGACAGATGGTTACATCATCATCTATATCCATAGACATGCTTTTTTTCACAATAGACAGCACGACTTGCAAAGAGATCAATGGAACAGTTGCAATCACCACTCACTCTCACTTTTCATCCGTCAGAGTGTGGCAGCTGACCCCTCGCAACGGGGATGAAGGCCAACTTGATTCTCGCTGTGAACCCAATTTGAGCTGTGGTGTTCAGCCAGACTATCAAGTGTCGAGTGCTGCTTAGTGGGGCAAACCTGTACGTACCCGCCCTTGGTTTCACACAGTTGTTTCACATTGGCAGTCCTAAAGGGCAAGTATGAAGATCTAGACGGATGGGCCCGATACCGGGCTGACCCAGGGAGTGACCTATGGTACATTTACCCCATGAAAATGACCTCCAATGGGGTAGCAACTATTCCAGTTCCCATGGATGAGGGCTAAAAACACGTCTGTGTTTTCATCCCTAAGTAAGGTGATTGGAGACTATTTATGTAGGCGCCAGGAGGGTCCAGTCTTACCTAACCTGAGGTTCGATGGCAGTGGATCCATAGGGCATGTGCTTTCATGTGTTTTCAGTGCTTCTCTTTGGGGCCTTACAAGCGGGACATCGACTCCTGATTGTTTTGCAAATTGGCTCCTTGGATCCGTGACGATTTGTCCAAACAGATGGTGAACTCCACTTCCATGATTCTTTCAGCATTGCCGGTCCATATTTGTCCTGCAAGCACTAGGGTTCTTCATAAGCCAAGCTGTAGTGAACAAAAAGCACGCAGGCCGCAGCCTGGCCGCAGCTGGTTGCAACCGCAAAATGTTGCTTTCCGGTCTCAGTCGCCTCATCAAAGGCTCCACCCCCGATGCGTCAGATATTCCACCCCTCGATTCCACCCTCAGCGACGAGGGGCTTGGGGGTGGCGTCTTCAGCGATGGCGTCCTCCCCAAGCGGTTTTGGTTGTCACCGTGGCCCGGGGTTGATTTGCGACTTCTTTGACCAGGATTAGCGCTTCGAAATGGGATCTCTCATAAAAAGTGGAATTGCTGCTTTGAATGGTTTTTCCTTGAGAGCACACCAAAATTCATCAAATGTCAATGTTGATCCTGACTGCAACTCGTTTTCTATGAGTCGAGTGAAGGAAGGCGCCCAGAATTGAATTTGGGGGTGAAAGAGGGCCCAGACTATCCATATATGGAATACTATATTATGTTAAATACTATTTGAAATAAATTTGTACCATCTATTAAACCCTGATGTAGGTATAACATGGTACAACTTAACTATTGTAGTCGTCCCATAGAAATTCTTTGGGATTTGTACTTATATACCTCGTCGCGGATTGGTCCTTTCTCGTCGCCGTTTAGGAACACGAAAATGCCCGGACAACATGTTTGCGAGCCGTGATTTGAGTAGAACACATGCTACGTACACCTGTTTTTTTAAGTAAACAAACATCTGCCTGTGGATATGCATATTTTGCTGGCTTCCGGCTTTTTCTACGGTGATTGTTGTGTTCCTCGTTCCTGTGAGCAGCTTTCCAATCATCTCCAATGTCACCCAGGGGCACGACCGTGGACTTGGAATGGAATGGCCCGCTTGGTATCCTTTTGTCTCTAATCCCTGCTGATCTCAGTGGATTGGCTCAAGTGACTTTTGTGTCTCAAGGGTTGGAGTGTGGTTGGTTTTTCTTCGGCATGTAACATGGAACCCTTGTGACCTTGCGGTTTTCGTGTGAAAGTGCCTAGTTGCTGGCATTTATTTCTACAACTGAGCCTTGGAAATCGAATCGAAGCTAGTGGAGTAGGGTGAGTTTGATCAACCCTGAGTTGTTTTGCCTTGGATTGCTTGATCTTGCCGATCTTGCTGATGCTTTTTTAAAAGGCCACCTCCTTTTTAGATCTTGTGACGGGGCTCCAGGCGTGCGCACAAACGTGCTACCACAGCACGAATTGACCAAGAGGGTCATGGTTAGTTTGACAAAAGATGCAAAATAGCCAACAATCAAAGAATTGGAAGGACGTTGTTATTGTTATCTCCATCCATCAATTGACTCATGCTAAGGCGCTGTGCTCGCTGTTTGCGCAGCAAAACGCGCGCAGGAATGATCAGATGGGGCAATGTGGTTTTCCACATCGCCTGACAACTGGAAAGCTCCGTTTCAGGGGAGGTGCTGTCGGGTCATGAATCGGGATGCATGGATCATGGAAGTTAGGAAAAAAGAGCTTCATGTCGACGGAAGACTTCAACGACTTGGTTTTCATGCTGACGGTCTCTGAGGATTTGCTCGACCCGTCGTTTGCCTGGTCGGACCAGGTTTTTCCCATCCCGGCAGGTTCTCCGCGACAGGGTGAGCCTTGCGACACCGAGGTCATGCGAAGAAAACGGGGTGTGACATGGGGGAGGAAGCCTCCCTGGCAGCGTGTTCAGGGCATGTGGAGTGTTAAGCAGATCATGCAGCCTGAGTTTTTGGAATCATTTTCATGGGATGGCTGGGCCAGGCATCACTTTTCGGTTTTGACGCGACACTGCAGCATCCAAGACCCCTTGCTGGACACCAAAACACGGCTCTTAAGCACCATCGTTGGCCAACCTCCTTCCCAACCTGCAGCATCGATCTCATGCCTAAACTATACACACAAACCAACCAACATGTTCCTCCCGTCCTCCTAATTAGGCCTCTTTGCGCGGCCTTCACCTCCCATGCTTCCCCACCCTTCAGCTCTTTGCGCGGCATCACGATGTGGTCGTGACCGGTGTCGTTCGGTTGGTCCTCTGAGGTCTTTGGGTCGATGCGTTGCCACCCAATGCAGACCTCAAGGGCTTGCTGCAGCCACTTCTGGAGGATCGTCCCAAGAGTGCCGAAGGCGCCTTGAGAAGGGTGGAAGGTTGTGCTGTGGGGCATAGCATGTGGGGGGAGCCCCCTTGTAGCCGTTGTCATGCCCAAGAGCGATGTCCTTGTTACTGTAGTAGCCTACAGTAGTGCTTGAAGCCCTTTTAAACCCTGCAGGCTTTGTCTTTTGGTCAAGCTTCCGTCCCGCGGCAGATCGCTCGGTCAGCGCCCTTTTCACCGCGGGCCAGGGCATCTGAACTCCAGTTAGACCTGCTTTTCGGAGTCGGTGAGTTTTGATATCACTACTCAAACTTGTCAGGAAAAAAACGCCTGGCACTTGCATCAGAGTGGACCACCAGTTTCGGTAAGATGGGTGCTCCCTTACCCACCCATCACATCCCTTCACCGTCCGACTGAGGACCTTCGATCCCTGCAGGGGGGTCCGGTTTCGTGTACTCCCGTAGCCGGAGCGACGAAGCGCCTCGGATCAGTGAGGCGATCCTTCGATGGCTCGGGAGGGAGGGATGGTCGTATGCGCCTCGGATCAGTGCGTGGTGTCCACCATTTGTGAGGGTTGAGCAAGGCCAGACATGGAACCAAGAGAGGTGGAACGTGACCTGAACTAGGACCCGTCACCTGGGGT